TGGGCAGAATATTAAATGATCCAGGAGGTATCAAAAGATAGAAGGAATATACTGAGTCATTGTATCAAAAGGAATTGGCAGACACAAGAATTTAATGAAATAACATTTGAGCCAGAGCCTATGGTGATGAAGGCAGAAGTTCAAGCTGCTTTGAAGGAAATAGCCAAAAATAAGGCCCCAGGAATAGATAGATGGTGTACCAATTGACATATTTCAGCTAACAGATGCTGCCCTGCATGTGCACACCAAGTTGTGCCAAGAAAGCTGGAAAACAACCACTTGGCCAACTGACTGGAAGAGATCGATATGGTGACCCAACAAGAGTGTGGAAACTACGGAACACTCTCATTGATTTCACATGCAAGGAAAATTCTACTTAAGTGACTTAAGAGGAGCGTTAAACGTTAAGGTTGGCACGGGTTAAAGACCTACAGTCACTAAAACCCCGGGCGCGTAAGTGAAATAAGTATGAAATAAGTAATTTTGTCTGTCTTTTTTACACGATTAAGGGTCGGGCAGATCGCGACACCCAGGCATCCCGCAAAGTAGGCGGGTCACCTCAGGGGCAACCTTTACCCGCTCAAAAATTCTTCTCACATGAGCAGTGAGGATCCGGGCGTCACCCCGAATCGTTATTTTCCTTACTCATAAGTTTAAGGCATGACGACCGAAGCTGTTCACGTCCAACGTAATATCCTGTATTCCTATTACAGCTATGGTGACTATGAAACTATTGTGTGACCTGGCTTTTTTTAGTCCTTTAAAAGTAACTATTTATTATGAAGTATTTTAGGTGGCTTTATATTTTATTTCTAAAATTTTTAAAAGAACGGAGCTCCGAGAGACGCTTTTCTTTTGTATGCAAATAAGAGGACAGCCCCGTGAAGGCTCACGGGAGCTTTCCCGCCCCTTCCGATCCGTTCTGGCGTCAACTCTCGCGAGAGTTTGCCAGCCAAACGCTGGTTAAATGCTAGTCGCTGGTTCGCGAGCGAAGGAGTGGGATTGAGGGCTGCTGCTCGCCTCCCTCGGCGCTGCAAGATGGCGGACATATCCCTGGACGAGCTCATTCGGAAGCGCGGGGCGGCGGTGAAGGGGCGGTGAGTGGCCTTTTCTCCGTCTCGGGGGTCCGGGGTAGCGGCGAGTCGGCGCCCCGCCGCGGAGGGAGCGGCCGGGTCGCGTCGCGGAGGCCTGTGCCCGCCCCCTGCGGCAGCCGCGCTCCTCATTGGCTCGGGCGGCGGGGCCC